CTGCTTCTCCCTCTGACCCTCCCCCCTCTCATGCTCTCTGTCTCTCCTCTCTCTATCTCTCTGTCAAATAAATAAATGAAAATATTAAAAAAAAAAAAAAAAGAGTCTCTCTCTCCCTCTCCCTCTGCCCCACCACCAACCCTCCCCCACCCCTGCACATGTGCATGTGTGCTCTCTCGCTCCCTCTCTTAAAAAAAAAAAAAAAAAAAGATAGGCCCTCAGGGCAGGAGCTGTGGGCTTGAGACATCAAAGGATGACACCATGCATGTTAATCCATTTGCTTCAAAATTTCCAAATTCTCATGGTGTTCTTGGAAAAGAAAGTAAGTATTGAAGGAGTTGTTGAAGAAAGAGACCTAAATAATTGGCATATGGAAGAGAGGAAACACATGCCAACGTGGAATCAAGCCAATTAAGCATGGTTCTTGCCTTGCTCTCCAGCTTTATTTCCAGTCCTAGAGGATTCCCCAGGGCCTTCTGCTACTAGACTAGGGGTGAAACGGGGCTGCTTCTGAGCTGTTGGAAGCAGAGGTCTTATTGTCATGGCGTCTGTTTTCCATGATTAGCATGAAGACCTTGAAGTGAGAGGTATTTGAGCCTGTGATTTAGAACTGAGGTGTAAAGGCACATGGTAAAGTGGGAGGAGAAGCTAGGTATCAAAGGAGGTAATAAAAGGGACTAGTGAAGGGCTATATGTCAAGAGATGTTGCTACCACACTCAGTCAGTGAGACACGTGGATCATTTTTATTGTAAATATTCTTTACAGTTTTTATTGAAGATGAAAAGCCAGCCTACCTTTCCTTACTTAAATTATCTTGTTTTTCAGCCCTGACGTTTAGTTTGCTGGCAAGGCAACTGATTCCTCCTCTCAATGTCTGTTATGCAGCTTTCTGTTCTTCAGTAATTTATGTCATTTTTGGATCATGTCATCAAATGTCCATTGGTGAGTTCGGCACTGGAACCACAGGTGGTGGATGGACTTTCTGCCTCAATCATTCCCTTATTGGCTAAGAACCCCAATTAAAGCTATGTTTAAGGTAGAAAAAAAGGAGGCAAAAGATGGACATTCTATCCATAGGGTGAGCGCTAAGAGTTTCGAGACTGAGCCATTATTAATGTCACCGCCAGACAAGTCAGCCAGCCAGCTGTTTCCCAAAGCAATTAGACAGCAGAGGCACTACCCTTAGTGAAATTCCCACCCACTGAAATCTGACTGCCCTCAACCCAGAAGATCCAGAGGCAAGTTTGCCAATATTCCTAGAGTGGATCCATCTTTCAGCTGGACCTATAATAACCCAAGTCCATGGGCCTACTTTATAACAACCATGTTAGCTTATTAATTTACAATGAGAAAATGCTGTCACAGTAATCAAAGCACTCAAATCCATAGGATAAGCACCTTCCTTCCCTGAGTCAAAGTCCATCTACTAATTTATAATTAGAAATAACTGTTACAGGGACCAAACTAGTTGAAGGTCATATAAGCAGCACATTTTCTTCACTTAAGTAAACCAGCATAGAAATCAAACCACAAAATGCGCAATAATCTTGGAAGGACATTGACAACATCTACTTAGTAAAGTGCCTTTTTCTTGGCTTCCCCACTGAACAACTGACCACCCAACCAACATTGATCATTTTGACAGACACACTTTTTCTCCAGATACGTTTGTATATTCAGTCTGGTTACCATCCCATTATTCTAGATGCGGAGTGCTAATCCTGCCTTTTTTTTAAGGACAATATCACATGTCTTTACTAAAATCCATTATGTGTTGATTTTACATTTGGAGACTGAGCAAACAATTTTATTCCCATATTTCCAAGTTCCTGGGGCATATTGCAATCATTTCCAAATACTGATAATAAGGCTACTAGAGTTTTGTTTCTGTTAGGCAATTTAAAGGTAAGATTTGCCTTTGCTCCTATATGTGACTATGTGGACTGGAGGACTGAATGAAATCATGTTTGAAATAGGTTTAACTCAGTGTCATTTTGCACCTAGTAAATACTTCATAAGTGATAGTTGTTATTTTTCTTATTATTATTGATTAGCTTTATTTTCTGATCCACTCCCCACAATCTCATTTACCATCTCTAAGAGCAGGTACAGTGGCTGAGCCTGATAGGCATTTCCAGCCAATTTCTCTTTGAATCCCACTCCATTTGCCCATATTGTAAAGAGGTTAATACCTGGACCACCAAGATCTAAATTCTGGGAGTTGGTCATGGCATGTGGAGCCAGAGTTCTTTTCTTTGCTCTTTCTTACTTCTCCAATGGCCACCTTCAAAAAAGAAAAGTTCTTCAGATCAAAGACAAAACAACATCAGACCATGCCTTGCTTTTGTCAAATATGTCTGGTTACCTGGATTTAAAACTGCACTTTCTGCCTCAACACCTTCTTTCATAGGTTCCTTCTTCCTTATGAGTGCTCTGATGATCAATGTCCTGAGGCTGTACCCATTCAACAATGGCCACCTGATTCTGGGAACTTTCATCAGGGATGACTTTTCTAAGCCCTCCTTCCTTGCGGACTATAACAGATCCTTGAGTGTGGTGGCATCCACAACTTTTCTGACTGGGATTATTCAGGTAGGATCTGAGTCTCTGAACCCCTGAAGAAGAAATAAATAAATAAAGGAGCTACAAATGAACCCCTTCCTTTTGTTGCTCCTGTTATCTGTTGTTATATATCTGGAACTTTTGTGGTTTATTTTTGGAAAACTTACAGGATGTGTGGATAGGCTCTCCTTAGTGACAAAACTTCTCCCCTCCTCAGAAATCATTCACCATTGATTTAGGATGAGACACTGAACATTCTCATCAGTCCCTTCTCTAAAACTAAAGAAGGGTCCTAGGGACTATGATCTAGAGTTCTATTCATGATTTCATGTTTAAAAAAAAAAAAACCTCTCTATATTCTTTCAACAAGATTAGCACTCATAGGCTCACATACTATATTTTGGGTTAAGTAAGCATTAGAGTCAGACCTGGAATCCTTTTCCTAAAATGTCAGGAGCACAGCCAAAGGACAATAATATCAATGACATATTAAAATATCAAAACTTACTTTTGGTGTGTCTTTGATTTTCTCTCAGAGTCTACCATCTAAAGCTTCACCCATTGAACTAAAGTCACATGTGCTAGCTTTATTTCTCTTTTTTTGCAACCAATCTACTCTCTAGCTAATTTTTGCTGATCTCTCCTGGGACCGTCTTTTATAAGGTAAGGTTTTACTGAAAGCCTACAAAGTCCGGCCCTGATACCAGCTATATGACTTACTTAAATCACCTTACCTTTACGGGCCTCAGTTTCCTTGTGTACAAAATGGGAATAATAACATTTATTTTGCAGGGTACTTATGAGGACTAAGTGAGAAAATACATGTAAAGCCCTCAGCGCAGAGCCTGTCACATAGTAAGCATCAGTATGTTATAACAACTGGATACAGAAATATGAATTTGGTACTTTGATAGAGACCAAAAATAAAAAAAGATGAAATTCCTGTGGTTTAAAAATTCAATCTTGTAGGAAAAGACAAAATAACAAGCAATAAGTCAGCAACCTATGAATTATCTACATAACCCTGGGCATGTTCCCTCGCTTCCTTTGAGCCTCAGTTTTTCATCTAATGAAGGAGGAGACATTCCATTTCCAGGAAGATGAAATAGATGTACTTTTCCCTATTCCTCCTGTTGAGTACAACTAAAAACCTTGGAACGTTATATATAACACAAACATAAGAGACTCTGAAAAGTGGAAAGAAGAAGGCAAACTGGCTCAGAACCTCCGAATCCAAGGAACAACGTAGTGGTGAGTTTCCAGGGTTTTCTTTTTCCTCTTATATTTCAAACTTGGTGCTGAAGAAGCCAGAAACCCAAAATGCTAATACCTGTGCGTGCACATACACACACAGCCCTAACAGAAGTCTGTTCTTTATAGCCACAGCACCAAAAAAGGCTAGCAAGGTTGAAAACTTTTACATAATAACTACTATACTCCAGACAAACACCAAGGAAAAACAAAACAAAACTGTGGTATCAACGCCCTCATGCCAACAAAAGCCAACTGAAGACCTAGGCTTTCACCCTTACCCACCTGTAATGAAGTGCCCACCCACCCTCCAACTGGGATGTTGTCAGAGAAGGCCAAGTAGGGAGTCAAGACTTTCATTCCCACTGTGCAGTAATGAGACCCCCTTCCTACTCCTTGCTAGGGTGGTTGTCAGAGATGGCCTAGTGAAGAAGACAACCCCCTCTGTTGTAGTGTCAGTGGAGGCCAAGTGGGAAGAAGTAAGGCATTCCTGTCTCTTCCAGCCAGGATAATATCAGCAGAGGGCTAGTGGGGAGCCAGAACTCCCACCTCTGCCCAGCAATAATGAAGGGTCCTTACTGCCACAGCTGTCGGCGGAAACTTAGGGGATAAGCTGGACTTGTGCATCTACAGGCAGTAACGAGATGGCACCTGCCCCCTCCCCTGCCATCACTTTGTCAAAATAAGCGAGCTACAACAGAAGGTTTAAATAAGATCCAGTGTCTCGTAGCATAGTGCCCAAAGTGTCTATCATTGAACTTAAAATTCCTTGTCTTATCAAGAACCAGAAAAATCTCAACTTGAATGAAAAAAGACAATAAAAAGATGCCAACACTGAGATGACAGAGATGTTAGAATTATCTGGCAAAGATTTTAAAGCAGCCATCCTAAACATGCTTCAGCAAGCAACAATGAACATGCTTGAAACAGTGAGAAAATAGAAAGTCTCAGCAAGTAAACAGAAAATATGAAGAAGCAAATGAAAATTTTCAAACTGAAGAGTACAATAACCAAAATTAAAAATTCAAAGGATGGGCTCAATAGCAGAATAGAGGAGGCAGGAAAGAATGAATGAACTCAAAGAAAGAACAATGGAAATTGCCCAATCAGAACAACAGAGAGAAACAGACAAAAAATAATGAACAGAGCCTCAGGGACAAGTAGGGTGATAACAAAATATCTAATATTCATATCATAAGAGTCCCCAGAAAGAGAGGAGAAAAAAGATGGGGCTGAATTACTTGAAGAAATAACAGCTAAAAACTCCCCAAATTGGCAACAGATATAATCCTATGGATTCGAGAGGCTGAGAAAATTTCAAACAAGATAAATCCATAGAAATCCACCCTAAGACAAATCAGAGCCAATCTTCTGGAAACTAAAGACAATGAAAAAAATCTTGAAAGCAGTAAGAGAAACACTTTACCTATGAGGTGAGGGAGGTGAGCGACTCAAATGACAGCAGATTTCTTTTTTTTTTTTTAAGATTTTATTTATTTATTTGACAGAGAGACACACAGCAAGAGAGGGAACACAAGCAGGGG